TAAGTTTTCTAGGTATACATAGATATGTCAATTAGGTAGGTAATCTTCAAACACTTCAAAGACCTACAGAATATGGCATTTAAAATGTTTTAAAAATTTAGACTTTCTGGACAGTGAGACATGTCTGCTCCTGGCAGAACTGATTAACTTCAGAGAGGAGGATGGGCATTGAAGACACTCTATATGGAGTTTATCTTCTTCTTAGCCAAAATAGCCATTTGGGCAAGAAACTGTTCTTGCCTGGACTGCTTGATCAACTGGACATGCAGGACCCATAGGAAGGTGACCACTGATCTTTGCTTGGCAAAATGGTCCTTCAGGTTCCCGCTTTGTAGAGGAAACTGCCAGACATTCTACAGGACACAAAGAGAAGTGACTGAGAGACTCTCTAGGCCTGTGGGCTGAAGACAGATGCCCCAACTTTTCAGAGAAACTTTGGATGACTGTCTAGTCTGCCAGCTGTCTCTGTCTACTCTCACAAGACTCCTGAAAGTTGCTTCAATCCTTCTCCCCATTTCTCAGGTAATATTATGTCCTTCTGAGGTCTTTGATGTAGTTGAAGACTAGATAGTTATAATTTCCTTAGTTATGATAAAAGATAAGTTAGATATGAAACCTTAGACTCACAAATATAGGATAGATAGGATATCTTCTTTAATTTTGCCAAATACAAGTAGACTAGATATTATAACTATAATTCTTGCTTGACAATTGTTTTGTTTTATGTAATTTTACTATGTTAAAGTTAAAACCTTACTTTTTGAAAAAAAGAAAAGGGCAAATCCTGGGGATATCTTTCTGTATGCTGTGAATGTGTTGCTCTGATTGATAAATAAAATGCTGATTGGCCAGTAGTCAGGCAGGAAAGTATAGTATAGGTGGGATAAGAAGAGAGGAGAATTCTGGGAAGTGGAAGGCTGAGTCAGGAGACGCTGCCAGACGCTGCCACCATGAGAAGTTAAGATGTCAAGTACCGGTAAACCACAAGCCATGTGGCAACTTATAGACTAATAGAAATGGGTTAATTTAAGATGTAAGAACTGGATAGCAAGGAGCCTGCCACAGCCAAATAGTATATAAGTAACATAAGTCTCTGTGTATTTACTTGGGTCTGAGTGTCTGCGGCCTCGGCAGGACTGGAGAAATCTGTGGGTACACCCTGGTGCTTTGGGAGGGCAGCAGGTACTCTAAACCACTGAGCCATCTCACCAACACCTGAGGTGACAGCTCTTAATGTACAGGAGGTAGGGTGGGATGCGTAAACTGTGCCATGACAGACTGTCTTAGGGTTTCTCTCTCTTTCTTTCTCTTTTTTTCTCTCTCTTTCTTTCTCTCT